CCCTATTTTCCCCAAGGAATGCATGTTACACTTTTATATGTCTTTTTAATATTCATTGCATGTCCTAGATCAAATGAGTGGATGCCTATTATCATTTTTCTATCCATTACTTCCATTGTTTTAAAGAGTTAGGGGCAACAAAAAAAAAACAACAAAGATAGATTTGAAAAAAAAAATATAGTCAAAAAGAAAAGAAATAAAGTTGCTAGAAAAGGAACAAAAAGAAGAAGAAAAAAAAAAGAAAAAGAAAGAAAAAAAAAAATAAAATAAAAATAAAAAGTTGCCTAGCTCATCCATTCCATTTGTTTTATTATTTCTTATCATTTCTTTCCATCCTCATTGTGTTAAGGTGTTCACTCAATTGAGTTAGGTTATGCTTTGCATATTAAGGGGATATATCTTGATTTAGCATTATTTTGATGCTAACCCTATTTTTTTATATACATGCATTTCTTAGACATCCTTTCATTACCTATATCACAACCTAATAAAGTCCACTTGATTCTTGATTGCAAGTGCTATTTAGTGATGGAGATGTAGAAGGGTTACAAATTCATAGTAGGGTTTATCCTAAGAAATTTTGAGTGAAATTTAATACCTTATACACTTTGAGTGATGAGAGCAAACACTTAACCTAGAGAGGCTTACTCTTTGACATTGATTCTTGGTAAGGGTTTGTTTGTGATGTGCATAATTCTTTCGTAATTATTGCCACATTGATTGATAATTTGTAGAAGTTCATGAGCTAGTATTTTAGTGACTTGAAACAATGTTTTTCTCTTATTTCTTTGTCTTATAGTTTCTTTTGGGACCTTTTTCACTTGATTTTGCCCGGAGTGCAAAAGCTAAGTGTGGGGGAATTGATAGAACACATTTGTTACCCACTTTTATTTGTCAATTAGGACCATTTTATTAATGATTTATCACCTTCAAGTGCACACATTGCATTAGATTTGGAACTTTGCCTAAGTTTCTAAGATCAGTGCACTAGGGGCATTTTGGTCCAAAAAATGAACTTTTGAGAAAATGTACAAGAAAAATTGACAAAGTGCATTTTATGTCCAGTTGATGAATGGTGAAATTATATTTTAAAATTCATTTTAGTTTGGGAGTAATTAAATAAAAAAGTCAACACTTTCTTAAGTGTCTTAGTTTGTCCTAGTTTTTGGTTTGCCTTTGTGTGAAAATTTTTATATAATTTTGTGCAGCCTGAAACTTGGTTAATTTAATAAATTCTCCCTTCTAATTATGAATTTAATTCTGGACATGAATTAGATTTTATTATATCATATGCTATTTAATTGAATTATGTGATTTATGTGACATAGGTGGCATGTGACTTGTGCATCAATTGGGCAATTGAGGTCAACACTCCTTGAGGACAATGGCTGATGGTTTGCACGTGAATTATGATTATTTTGAGGGATTAGATCAGCTAAAATGATGTGGATGACACATGGGAAATTAGGCACACATTGGAATCATCTACAAACCAATAGGAAGTTGCCACCTTGCAAGTGTGACAAGGCTCCCATTTACATTTTAATTTCTTTTTCCTTATTTTAATTAAGCTTCAGCTGATGGGAGACACCAAGGAGCACGCCATTTTAAGCCCCAAATGGGATCCAACACATATCTCATTCATCTTCCACATTCTCTCTCTCTTGTTCATAGTGTTCTTCATTTTCTCTCTTTTGTTCTTCATTTTCCAGCACCCTAACCTCCATTTTCAGCCACCAAACCTCCACAAAACTCATACCATTCTTCTCCTCTCTTCATTTTCGTTCCATCCCTTCCATTTTCACAAGGATTGAAGCTCATTTCCATCATTCAAGAGCTATGGAGTTTGGCCTTCACAAGCAATCACTAGGGTTTTTGAAGATGAAGATTGGCTAAGTTTCTTTGTGGAATCCTAGAGAGATGAAGATGGAGGATGAGTCTTGAGCTTCAAATTGGCTAAGTTCTTTTGTTTCCTATCCTCTTCTCTTTTTACTAGATGGTTAGATTCCTTAATCTAGGTTTAATCATCTTAGCTTATAAATTCTAATTTGAATTTGATGTTGATGTAAAGAGAGAGGATTGTTTCATTTAATTTCTTCCTTGGACAGCCATGACTGAATTTTGCCACTCTTTGTTTGGCACATAATCTTGTGTTTTTCAATTAGTGAATTTCTTGTGTTAATATTGCATAATCTTGTGGTGTTAATGCTTGTGTTGTTGAGTAGCTTGACATAATCTTGTGGTTGCTCAATTTATGTGTTTGACCATGGCTGTTGAGAGAGGATTTTGAGTGAATCACTTGGCTAATGTCTTCACCAATTGGTTAATTGAACTAGGGACTTTAATCTAAGACCTAGGGAGGTTAGCTAATTAGGTTAATTGGCTTAGGATAATTTTCTTAAGTCATGACAGCTTTAGTCAAGAGGAAAGGGAAGCTAAACTTAGCCTAATCATGAGAAGATAATGAGTCCAAAATCAACTAATCTCTAGGGTTCCATTATTGTAAAAAGGGAAGTTCATTTCACTCACTTTCACTAGCATTTTAATTACTTGCACATTAGGTAATTAGTTTAGATAATTAGCTAGGTAACTAAATTCCTACAAACTTTGGTTGATTTATTTCACTAGATAACTTTCAATTAGACTTAAAACCATTCCTTGGGAGATGACCTAGGGTTGGCCCTATATTGCATTAGGGTTAGCTTTAGTGTAATTTTGAGGATAAGCGACTAATTTCCTATCAAAATTTTGGCGTCGTTGACAATAAGTCTGCTTACCATCTGGGCTTCGATGTAAGTCCTTTTTAATTTTTATATCCACCAAATCAAATCTTGCCTTCACACTATCCTTGGACTTGCTCTGTATGTTGAGAAGTGTTCCAATAATACTATCATACACATTCTTCTCCACATGCATGACATCAATACAGTGCCTCACATCAAAATGGTGCCAATATGGAAGGTTAAAGAAGATAGACCTCTCTTTCCATTTTTTTTCACTGCTCTTTATAGTTTTATCGAAGGTAAGATTGATGTCTTTCACCAATTCATAAACTTGGCCTCCTGTTAATGGCTTAGGGGCAGTTTCATGCTCTTGGCCGCTATAGAAAGCTTTCCTCATTCTACGATAACGGTGACCTTCTTTGAGAAATCTCCTTTGGCCAAGGTAGACTATCTTCTTTCCATGATAAAGTTGATGGTAGCATATGCCTTCTTCATAAATTGGACATGCTTTATGCCCCTTAATACTATAACCTGACAAGTTTTCATATGTAGGGAAGTCATTTATGGTGCAAAAGATTATCACAGATAACTTGAATACCTCCTTCTGATTCACGTCAAACACATCAACACTTATCTCTCACAGCCTTTTCAAGTCTTTAATCTAGGGTCTTAAGTAAACATCAATGTCATTCCTTGGTTATTTCGGTCCTAAAATGAACATTGACAACATGATATACTTGCATTGCATATATAACATGGGAGATAAGTTCTAAATCACTAATAGAATAGGCCATGAACTGTGTATACTACTAAGGCTACCATAAGGATTCATGCCATCCATACTAAGTCTAAGCCTAAGGTTCCTTTGATCACTACTGAAATCGAGAAATAATGTATCAATTTTCTTCCATTGTTTCAAATTAGTCGGATGTTGAAGGTTTCCATCAAAAATCCTCTCATCCGTATGCCACCTCAGATTCTTCACATCCTTTTCATTAGCAAACAACTGTTTAAACCTCAGTATAATTAGAAGATACCATAATACCTTTGTAGGAGCTTTATTCTCTTTGTACCTTGGAATCTCACACACCGAACAATTCTACTACTCTTTATGCTCTTTCCTATACAATATACAGTCATTAGGACATGCGTGTATTTTCTTAAACTTCATGTCCAGTGGGTATAGAATTTTCTTTGCCTTGTAGTAACGAACCGGCAACACATTCTCTTTCAGAAGCATTAATTTCAACAACTCGAGCATTTCTGTGAAACTCTTTTTGCTTAACCAGGATCTAGCTTTTAAGTTTACCAACTCCAACACTGCTTTTAACAGACTATATTCCTAGCAACTCGGGTACAAAGGTGTCTCTGCATCACTACACTTATTATTATATGCCTAGGATTTCTCAAAGGCCTCTTTACCCACATTATGAATCATGTCTTCTAACCGATCAATCATATTATCATCATCATAATCATTATCAACATCCCGAGATTGAGATGTCCTTGGTATTGGCATGTTCAGTCTTTCACTATGCCATATCCATACTCTAGAACTTTTAAGAAACCCCTCACAAGTTAAGTATTCATATATCTCATTTGTACTTAGCCGTCTCTCATTCAAACAGTCCCTACAAGGATAAGAAAACCTCTCACTATCATCTTCAACATTGCTTTGAGTAAATTCTAGAAATTCCTTAACCCCATTAACATTTTGTATACTTGTTCATTTGGCATCTATCTAACTATGATCCATGTTTAATTTTACCTCCTAAAACATGAAACAGTTTATGGATTATTGCTAAGTCCATTGGAATAAGGCCAGATAACAAGTTCTAAAAATAAGGAAGCGAGCTCTTTGGAAAAAAGTATTCTTTATAGTTGGCTAACCTCCTATCTAATAGGTAAGAGGGAAGCCAACAATATTTTTTTTTTGCCCTTTCCATATAGAGAAATAAGCCAAATGATAAGTTTTAAAAAATTTTGACAGAGTCTCCCCTAAAAGTTAGACTTCCCAATAATTTTACAATTGAACAGTTTAACAAATCATATTCCAGCCAAGAACAATGCCTAACCTAATACTGTCAACAATAATAGCAAGTTGTAATTTGATTCAATATATAGCTAAATATCATTCTATCCTCCTCTAATAACACAACAAACATGTAACAATGAGGATATATATCTTGTATATTTAAAGCTTGATTTGTTAATGATACAATGTGAAATAGAACAAATAAATCAAACCCAATACTGTCAGTGAAGATTCAAAAACCAACCTAGAATGAAGAAGTCACTAATATGTCTGCACCAGCCTCCAAGTATTCCAAATGAACCTATACAAACAAATTCATTTCCAATAAAGGATTGAGAACAAAACAACAATGCGAGATACATATATAAGTGAGATATGTTTTCAAGAAGACTAACTCTGTTTTCAAGAAGCTAGTGTGCTATATGAGATATGTTTGAGTAAATCTAGCTTAAATATTTAATATGCAAAAGAGAAAAAATATTTATAATTCTAGCGCGAGTTCCTTGACAAGTTTCATATTCCTATATGCTTGTATTTGAATGAAAATTTAGTTTTTTTGTTTTCTGTTTGAATTTATAAAATATTAGCTATGATAGAAGATTATTTAACCTATGTTGTAGGTCCATTTTCTTTTGCCTGTATTAATTCTTATTTCCCTACTAAAAGAAATGGCTTTCGCATCTTTAAATTAGATAGCAATAGAATATAAGTGTATAAGTGCGGAATCTCAAACCAAAGATGATTTCAAATAAAAACATTTGGCAAGAGCTTATGCTGGCAATTGGTTCTACTTACTTTGATGCACAAAAAGCAGAACCAATTCCACTTTAAAGCCCCAATTTCAAATCAAGAAAAGCCATAATCTAAGCTAAAACTCACCCAAACTAGAGAAACTGTATGTCCTAATGATGCATTTCTATGCAATAAGAAAGTATAGGAGATGGATGAAGTCCATTTTGCATATCATGCTTGTACAGGTGTCAGTACACTATTCTCATAAAAAATCAAAACTCAAAACAAACTGACAAAATATATATCCATAAATCAATAAATCGAGTCATAAAGAGGTACTCACCTTAACAATGGTGGCCGTTGAAGGAAGAGGGAATGCCCACGATTAAGCACCCGCACCCACACCCACAAGCACCTACGTACATCTTAAAAAATGTATTTTATATATATATATATATATATATCTAAGAAAAGCATTTCAAAGGTTTAATGAATTTAATATCAGTCTGATACATTAACGATCTTTCTCTCCAGCAGGAAAATTTTGATCACCCTCTTAGTTTATTCCCCGTGTTTGCAAATTATCAGAGCATACAATAACTCTCAAAGGTCGAGAGAGAGAGAGAGAGAGAGAGAGAGAGAAGATCAAACACTATTGTTTTAAGCATCAAACTTGTTTTTTTTTTTTTTTTTTGATCGGAAAAGAGAAGCATGTATGCTTCTTAGTGAGCTGGAGCAAATTTCTCTCAAGAAAAGAATTGTAATCAATACATTCAAATAGGATGATTCTAAGGGAAAAAGAGGTACCTGAATTCGGCCATCAAAGGTTCCAATCACTAACAGCACAGATTCGAACTCCACAGATCTGAAAAGGGAGATGACGCCAATGGCTGTGAGCTTTTAAGAAAGGGAGAGGAGAGCCACTGTTATGAGTTTGAATGGGAAAGGAGAGGGCGACGACGTCGGAAATGAGAAAGGGAAACCATATAAAGGGAGAAAATCCACGGGGTGAAGCAGGGGAAACGAGGAAGCTAGAACTCGTGCGTCTATCTAGAACCAAGGGACGGAGGGTTTAGAAATTACAGGCATATCTAAACCATTTACAAATCATAACTAATTTAGATGTCTTTTAAAATTATTTTTAAAAATTAAAAATACATATCTAAATCGAATCTATGTTATAACCAATTTAGATATCTCTTATTAAAAAAATTTAAAATTTAAATACATATCTAAAATGGTTCAATGTTATAACGAGTTTAGATATCTCTTATTAAAAAAATTTAAAATATAAATACATATCTAAATCGATTCTATGTTATAACTGGTTTAAATATGTATTTCTAAACTGGTTCCTTTCTTAACTAGTTTAGAAATAATCCTAACTTCTTTTTTATGTACGAGAATGCCATCGCTCCCATTTCTAAACTGTTGGCGCATTAACCAGTTTAGATATGTGGGTTTAAAAATCATATTTTGCTATAGTGCTTATGTATTGTAATTTAGAAGTAAAATTAGTTGCTCTACATAAGTTATAGTTAGGGTTTTATTTAAAAGTAAAATTAGTTGCTTCACATATGCTATAGTTAGAGCTAAACTCCTAATTGGTACTATATTTGTAAAAAAATAGTGTTGTAAAATTTTTGAGAGATCCTATTTACATGGGAAGTTCTACCAAAAACTACAAAGACGCTGGAAATTTTATCATAATGATTAATATAAGTATGTTAAAAATTTCAATGCAAATTCAATTATTTGTTAAATTAGAAAGATTGCTATCAATTTAAGGCCTAAGGGATGTGATATAATTCACATCCTGTGCCAATCAACCTCTATTTTCAAGACGTGACAATTTGGTATTAGAGCTTAGATTTATTATAGCTATGTGGAGCAAGAACTTTTCAATGAAGTCTCAATTGTCATTATGAACCGGGCATAATTATAATTGATGCATCATTGAAGGTTCTATAGGAAGTCCTCAAATGTCGTTTGTTTCTTGTCATTGATTTCTTTTGTTGTATAAAACTACATTTTGAACTAAATAGTTCTTTTGTCTCATAATATAGTGAAACATGCTACCTAGACGTCGAGTATCTATTAGGAGTTCTACTAATAGTAAGACTTTTGGTAGAACTTCTTTAGTAGATGATGTGCCTTTGAGAGGTAGAGGACAGTGTCAAAGTAGGATTAGGACTAAAGCTGGCCGAATCCTTAGGTCCCTTCAAGTCATTCCTTCCAAGATTCAACTTTTAGAATCTCAGTTTGAGAAATAAACTGTCCCCTCTTCGCATGTTATGCAAGAGGAACTGCTTGCAGTAAAGTTGTCAAAATTTATAAAGCTAAATCCCCATTCCTTTTCAAGAACCAATGCATGAGAGGGTCAAATTGAATTTCTTGAAAATATTGAAAAGAGATGTTGGGCCTTAAGATGCCCTAATGTTTAGTATGTGAAATTCGTAGTGTTCCAGCTATAGGGAATAGCAAATACTTGGGCAAAAATAGTTCCAAGTCTACATGCAATTAGAGTATTGTCCTTGTCATAGGAGGAGCTCAAAACTACTTTTCTAAATCACTATTTACCCCAGAGTACAAGAGATGTAAAGGTTGAAGAGTTTTTAATTGTAAAATGCAGTAAAGAGATGTCAATAGCAGAATATAATCAGAAGTTCACAGAACCATTTTCTTTTGCCTCCCTTATTATACAACTGAAAGGGAATAGATTAGCATATTTGTACATGGATTGCTAATAGATATACATGATAATGTAGCCCTTATATTAGGTCGTGATGTTATTTATGCTAAAATTGTTAATAGTGCATTGGGAATTGAAAATTGGCATTAGATAAAGGAAGCAACTTCTAAGAAGCACAAGAGAGAGAATGATGAGAAGTTTTCAAGTTCTTCCTCTAAAGGTCATCGATTTTAAGGTCAATATCATTCTCATGTCATGCAGCCTAAGCTTAAATCATATGGTTCACCATTAGCAAGCACTCCTATTGAGGGGATCTAATTATGGTAATGTTAGGCCCCAAACTCAGTTAGTTCTAAATCAATCAAATTATACCAAAGTACATTGTGTCAATTGTGGGAAATATAATTCGCAACTATGTTATAAGATATTGGGTGCATGCTTTGGGTATAGGCAGATAGGTTACTTAAGAAGGAATTTTCCATATATCTAGTCTATGTCAAACCATAGATTAGCTCGACCTCCTTCTTACCTTAAATCATCTTCAATTCCACTTGTTGGAGCCACTCCTAGTTTAGCCAGTAAAGGTATGTCTAGAAGAGGAAATGGAAAGTGAGAACAATTTTCTTTAAGACAAGGATAAGCAAGAATTTACACTATAACAAGGTAAGATGCTAGAGCTTCACATGCTATTATTATAGGTATTATAGTTGTGTGCTCTAATGGATTGTTTGATGCTGATCAACTCGATGATATGTATCTTCTTATTTTGCTAAGAGGTTAGGTAAAGAACCTACCAAACTTGACAATTCATTTATATAATTAGTACTCTAGTAAGAGAATCTTTAATTGTTCCTCATGTATATAAGTCTTGTAAAGTGTCTTTTGAGGGTGGAGAAATCCTTATTAATTTAATGATACTTGATATGATTGATTTTGATGTGATATTGGGCATGGACTAGTTAGCTTCCTGTTATGCCACCATTGATTGTCATTTAAAGGGGGTGAAATTTGATATTCCAAGTGAAATTCTTTTTGTACGATAAAGGAGTTCTATAAAAAGACCTATTAATTTTATTTTGACTGTAAAAGCCCAATGGTTATTGATAAAGGGTTGTCTAGGGTCCTTTATTATAGTAAGGGATATTGTTAAGTCTAGGATTAGTTTGGATCAAATTATAGCCGTTTAATAATTTCTTGAGGATTTTCTAGAAGAACTAACTAGATTGCCACCTAATCGAGAGATTGAATTTGCCATTAACTTGATTACAAACATTCAACCAATCTCTATTTTACCGTACAGAATGGCACCTTTTGAGTTGAGAGCATTGAAAACTCAATTGCAAGAACTATTATATAAGGGATTTATCTAACCTAGCACATCTCTTTGAGGAGTACCAGTGCTCTTTGTAAAGAAGACGGATGGATCACTAAAACTTTGTATTGATTATTGACAACTTAATATAATAAGACAGTGAAAAATAAATTTATGTTCAAGTTATCATTAGTTAAAGATCATGTAGGAGGATATACCAAAGACTGCATTTAGGACAAACGAAAGTCCCAACTCAATCTAGACTTTACCATTCCGAATCACACAATCAACAAATAAAAGAACAATAATATTAGAGTGATAACCTTTTATTTGTTTTCAAAAGCATGGGATCCCAACTTTTTAAAATATATATTCAAATAAAAGGGCTAGTAGAAGCATAAATACATAATTTGAGACTCAAAGAGGCACAAATTCTTTTATATGTAATTTGCCATGCGTTGCAGCTTGTACCACTATGCACTGTGGCATATGGTATATAGCAACATGCCTTGCTATTATCTATGCCATGTGTTGTGGAGTGGTGCACTATGTGCTGTGGCGCATATGACAGCAAAATTTGCTGTCATATGAAAGTTTAGCAGGTAAACTTCTGCTGCGCACCATTTCCATATCTAACATTCGATTGGAGTGATTCAAGTGCCCACATGAAACTTATAACATATACTAGCTAATAGAATAAGTTTGGACTCGATCTGATCGTCTGATCTAAAATTAAACGTTCGAGTGCAAAAAGTCACTTTTCTTTTAAAAACTTGCACCCTAAGCATTGAATTATCATTCCTTATCCTATTAGACCACTCCGGGCCTTGAACAAAGTCCAAAAGGACAACATACACTTGATTGACATCTCATACCACATATAAAACGTCAAATGCTCAATTTGACCTCTCAATATCACATTACACATTTGTGGACTTATATGAGGTGCAATACATACAATACATATTCACATAGACTTATTCCGCATTCAATCATCCAACTCTTACATATTGGGCTTTGCCTCACTATATGATCTGGAATCACAATTATACTCAACTCTTTCAAATAGGGCTCCGCCTTACCATTTATATCAAGTTCTCACATACATACACAATTCACACTCAATTTCACATTCAACATACACATACACATACATGTAAGTGAAACAAGTTACATAAGGACATACACTTTCTTGAACAGCATCTAGGCCTACCCACGAACCCTTCACTAGGGCACCCTTGGCAAGATGCAACATCATATATATATATACAAGTAAGTTTTCACAACACAATTCATATACACATTCACTTATGCATCTTAGTTGGCAACTTAAACTTTAACAATATATTATATATTCATTTCACTAAATGGTAGTCATACCACTAGCAAATGACGCTACTCATTCCTTGCTTCCTTTCTAGGCCTTCTCGTGCTCTCTTCACCTGTGTTCAAAAGTAAAAGAGTGAGACATACATCCCAGTAACTTAGAGGTAACCCTAATTATTGGTTAGTAAGCAAAATCATAAACTAGAGATAAAGTAGCATGTGTTTCAATCAAAGCAATATCATATGCATATACAAGAATTCATTCTCATCAATGTCATTATGCTTTTACTCATGCACTTCTACCTAGTGAAGTAATCTCTACACTTAAACCAAGACTTCCAATCACATAGAACAGGGCCCACCATACCACTACTCAAACCAGGTAATCCTCTTTCCGTATAGGAGGTCTCCTAGGTCTATCACGGTAGAGTCAAACTCTACGCTCTAAATCATCAAGACTTTCTAGCCTTATACAAAGTAGGACCATGACCACCCCCTACCTTGGTCTAAGGTAATCTCGTGGATTATTCTATATCCTAGGTCTATCGTGGCAGAATCAAGCTTTAGACTTTGGATTATCAGGATTCTCTTAAGTTCATCCTAACGGAGTTAAACTCTATACTCTGGATCATCAGGACATCTTAGACCTCCTCAGCATAGGGCTACGTCCCCCTACCATGATCTAAAGTATACTTGTGGATGTGATGCATGTCAATGCACAT